TAATGGAGAAGGAACAGAAAAGAATTTAGAAAAAGCCTTTTATTGGTATCAAAAAGCAGCAGAAAATGGAGATACTGATTCAATGCATAGTTTAGTCATTTGTTATGTAAATGGAGAAGGAACAGGAAAGAATTTAGAAAAAGCGTTTTATTGGCATCAAAAAGCAACAGAAAGTAACATAATGGATTTTGAAAATGAAGTTGAATTATGTAATATATGCAACCAGCTATATACTAATTACCAGTGGTGTCAACAATGTAATGCCAAACAATTTCAACATGATTTTTTAAAGTGGACTAGTAAAAATGAATTTATTGATAAATTTATTCAAGATTCACAACTAAATGCCAAAAATAGTTATGAAATTTTAGAATGGATACCTTATAATAAATTGTCAAATATTAATTATTATGATAAAGGAGGATTTAGTGAAATTCATAAAGCTATCTGGCTAAATGGACCTGTTTTTAGTTGGAATTTTGATAAACAACAATGGAATAGACAATTAAACTATGATGTTATTCTTAAAACACTTAATAATTCATCAAATTTAAATAGTAAATTTCTGGATGAGGTAATTATTTATATTTATTAGCAATTTTTTTTTCTATTGCAAAAAATTAATTTTTTTTATTATTTATATAGTGGAAATATCATTATAATTGTCAGAAAAAATCATTTTCAAAATTTATTCAATTCTTTGGATTTACCCAAGATCCAAATAATTTAAATTATATGATAGTGATGAGTTTTGCAAAAAAAGGAAGTTTGAGAAAATGTTTAACTGACATAATTAAATTTAAATGGCAAGAAAAGTTACAATTATTGAAAAAAATTGTATTAGGGCTCAAAGTAATCCATGAATCGAATTTAACTCATGGTGATTTTCATGATGGTAATATTTTAATATCAGATAATTACAATGAGTTATTTATTATTGATTTAGGATTATGTAAACCTATAAATTATTTACAAGATTCTGACAATAAAATTAATGAATTTTATGGAGTTTTACCTTATATGGCACCTGAAACATTGAGACAAAAACTCTATACACCAGCAAGTGATATTTACAGTTTTTCAATGATAATGTGGGAATTTACATCAGGTATTCCTCCATTTAATCGTGTAGCACATGATCATCACCTTATTTTGAGTGTCTGTGAAGGGAAACGCCCTGAAATTGTTGAAAATACTCCAAAATGTTATATAGATTTAATGAAAAAATGTTGGGATTCAGATCCTTCCAATAGACCAACCATAACAATGCTCGAAGATATTATATCTGAGTGGGTTAGATGTATTAATGAATATTATAGTATAAACATGGATGGAAATGATAAATTTGAAGTACTTAATATTGATAATAAATTAAAGGATGATATGGTTGAATTTATAAAAGCAAACAAATCTTTAGTACAAGAGCAAGCAAATGCTTCTTTTATACAATCTCATACACAAGCATATTATACAAGTCGTAAACTTACTGAAATCTTAGTTCAAGAAAAGTCTGATTGTTTTGAATGTATAGTTAAAATTTAATAATTCTGTTATTTATTCTTTATTTGTTAGTTATTACTGATATTTTCAATTTTATTATAAAATAAATATTTTAAATACAGATGTAATAATTATCGAAATAATCTTTATTTATAATTTTTATTTTTGTTTGAAATTTGTTATGTTTAATATTCATATCCATACTTTAGATTAAGAACTTTAATCTTTTCTTTAAACTTTTTATAAATAATTATTTAAAAACAAACAAGAATTATTTAACAGTATTACATTAATACAGACGTACAGTCATTTGTTAAAATCAAAATTCACATGAGAGATTTTTTACATATTCTAAATTCGAGTATCAATTTATATCAGCTGAGATTTAAATATCTTTTTTACATTAAAATCTTAATTATAGATATGCGAATCTCATTCTGACTTTCAAAAGAAAGCTTTATATTTTTATCCTCATTGCTATCTCGAATTTTCATGCAAATCTCATCTTATTAACGAAGATATATATTGAGTTTCTCCTTTATATAATTCCTATTTTCAAGTTGCGCCCAATTTGTGTATAAAGAAAAGGATGAATAATTTTTTTTTTTGTTATCAGATCGGTATAAAAATAATAATTTTAGGAAATATTCGATAAATAATTGGATAAAAATTCTTGAAAGATAATTCATCAAAATGCTTTGTTATACGTATTACCACTTGATGCATGATATTAGTACACCGAATTTTGACAAGAATGGTAAATATACTACAAATTTAAAAATTTTATATTTATAAATTTTACATTTAGAGCATTCAAAATATTCATAGGGAATTTTATTCAAAAAATTATTTATGTTTTCGGTTTGTTTGCTCATAAGTAAAAAAATTCTACCAAGAATTTTGTGCGATAAATAAACATTCTAAACTTGATAAGAGATAAGTAGAGCAGAACTTGTTGTAATAAGGCGATTAAAACAATTTTACACAGTCTACTAAGGCCATTCCAAATTAATTTTAAGTTTAACGTCCTCCCTCCCCCTCTAGTATTTTTGAAAATGTTAAAATAAATTAAACACATATATTCATATATGTTTAAAACACACCCTCTCTTTTCTGAAATTGGGTGTACCGAATATTTCCGATTTTACCGAAAACTTCCAGAAATTTTAATATGTTTAAATATCATGTTTGTTTAAATTATTCCCCCCAAATTTTTCAGCCAGAAAGGACGTTAAACTAATTATTAGTTTGGAATGGACTAACAGTCTAATACATTGTAATTTTAACGATTTAAATTTACTAATGAAATATAAATAATATATAATTAGGATGAGGTTCAGCTTGATCAGTTCCATTTTAGTTCCATACTTTAAAATTTCATTAATAATTTTTCTCGTTCCTTTTTCGAAAGATTTTTGTGAAATATTCGTGAAATATTCCAATATAAATAGGAGCCTAAGTATATATGGGTAGTACATGTGAAGTTGGACAACTAAAAATAAATTTTGGTTATTATTAACAAATTTGATCTATAAATCATTTAATTCCGATTCGTTGGATTTGGTTCGGAGCCGACGCCAATAACACCTCCATAAATAATGAGAGAAACATAAAAAAAGCTTATATCAACTATTATTAATTTATAATTTGATATACTTGAAATACTTCTTATTTATTTTCTGTGGAAGAATATGTAGTTTTTCTAATCTGTTTTTCATAAAGTCAATTATCGCATGAGCCTTTGTCTCCATATGAAACAAGGTCACCATTACCAAATGATGGACCAAGGTCATAATTTCTAAGTACAGCATATTCATTTTTTACGCGACTTAAAATATAACCCTCAAAATTATCATTATTATCAAAAGAGAATATAAAACTATCTTTAATAGTGCCATAATAATAATCAGAATTCCATTCAATTGGGTTATATCCTCTAAGAATTTCATTTACTATCTTCACTTTAATAATTGTTATAGTACGAGTTTGGTTATCGCAGATTTCATGAAATTTTTTAATTGTAAATCCATCACGAGGTCCGAAGTAATAATTCAAATTCGTACTTATTTTTTATCACTTCTGTATTTTCTAATCTACATCAGGAAATTTTTTTATATGTAAAAAATATGCAATATTTTGTGCATGAAAAAATTGATTTGCACACCCTGAAAATGCACATTAATTGCATATTTAATATATATAATGTATTTTTCNAATATGCAATATTTTGTGCATGAAAAAATTGATTTGCACACCCTGAAAATGCACATTAATTGCATATTTAATATATATAATGTATTTTTCATACAAATATATTGTAAAAAAATGGGTTAATTTTTATATAAATTTGTACAAAGAATTATACATATAATATTGTTAATTATATTGCGTAAATTTTGAGAAATTTAACTATTTGTGCAATATTGAATACCCTGAAAATTTTGTGATGTATTGATCCATTTTGAGATTAATTCAGCATGTTGAAATGTAATGATTTTGGAATCAATTTTATTTTTAATTTATTCGAAAAATCTTCATAAGTTAAATTATGAAATTTGATAAATGGAATACATTGACGTATATTAATCTTTAAAGTTTTGAAATCTTCTTTTGAAAAATTTATAGGATCAAAAGGAAGATCTGGACTTTGAGCAAGCCCCCATCTAAGCACATGTTCCCATACTTGGATTGAGTGAGACCAAAAGTTTTTCAGGAATTGAAGAAAATTTTAGAGATTTGAATAACTTATCTGGTTCTTTTGATGTTAAATCAGTACAGAATTTTTGAAGTTCCAAGAAAGAATCGTCTTCAAAGCTTATTTGATATATCAAATTAAAATTTTGTTCCATCCAATTTGCCTTAGTTTTAATCAAAAAGGATTGTAAATAAGTGATTAATTCTTGAAGACCAAGTTCACTTCCAGCAACCAAGATTTTAATTATATCTGATGTATCATATTCCTCTAAAGTAATTCTCCCACTATAAATATATCTAAAATAAAAGACGTTAATTTATTATACAAATATTTTGTATTATATTTTATTATTTCCTTTTTTACTTACCTTAAGATTATTTGAAAAATTTCAGGTAAAATATTTTGTAATTTTATATGAAACAAAGTTCCATCATTTTTCCTTTTATTAGTTGACAAAATTCTTCGTAAACAAGTAGAACGATAATGTAAGATAACCATATGAGCACGAAATATCTTTTATATAAGTGTCATTCCAACTTCAATAGTAACATCATAATATTCTTCATCATTTAAAATTTCAAGTAAATTTTGTGATAATTTCGTTATCATTCGTGATTTAATAAATTTAAAAAAGAAATGAAAAGGATAAGGATTAGCAATTTTGCTGAATTGCTAACATTATATATAATTGCCGATGCTGCTTGTTGACCTTGTAATAGCACCAGGTGATTAAGATTATAAAATATTATTAGTCCGAATTCTGAACGTTATTGATGGTCTTGAATTTTATAAAAAAATTTCATGTAATTTTCATCTTATTAACGAAGATATTTTATATTTGCCAAAGTTTTATCATCTATAACTGATAATGATTTGATTCATAAATTTAAATAACTTTATATAAATTCTATTTTCCAAGTTGCGCCCATTTGTGTATAAAGAAAAGGATGAAATAAAATTTTTTTTTTTTGTTTGTTATCTTATCGGTATAAAAATTAAATAATTCTGGAAAGATAATTTGTCAAGATGCTTTATTATGCGTATTGCCACTTTCAACGCTTAATTGCTGATAAATGGTTTATATTTTTGAGATTCGGATGTATAGTTTTTCAAAACAAAATATATGTATACCTTACGTGATATTTGTTATAATTTTACAAATCATTTATTTCGTCCTATGAACAGTTAATGATGACCTCGAGAACATTTATTTAGTTGAATTACGACCGCTTTAGTAAAGAAAAGAAATTTATCATTAACACGAATGATAAGAGGAACGTAGTATAAAATACGCAGTATTACCAAGAAAATAAACAACAACCTTCGAATTTGATCATCATTTTTTTTTTAAAAAGGAAAAAAAAATTTACAACGGACGTTAAAAAGTTTTTGAATTAACCGAGCGGAATTAGAGATTTTGATACACCGAATTCTGACAAGAATGGTAAATAATATACAATATATATTTAGAGCATTCAGAATATCCATAGGAAAATTTATTCAAAAAATTATTTATGTTATCGGTTTGGCTTGCTCATAAATGAAAAAATTCAAGGGATTTTGTGGGATTAATAAATTAGCATTCTAAGAGATAAGTAGAGCAAAAACTCGTTGTTATAAGACGATTAAAATAATTGTTACACAGCATACTAACAATCAAATACATTATATATATATATATATTTCAATTTAATTTAACGATTTAAATTTTATTAATGAAATATAAATAAATATGACCTATCACTGATACTTCACTAATCATAAAAAGAGATCTTACATTACACAACGGGTCCAAAGATCGTTCGTGACTTTTATTGATAATTTTACGGATAATGTTTATTTAGAAGAATAAATAAAAAGTCTACTAAAAGCTAAAATTATATAAATTCCGTTATATAAACTAAGTTCCATGCGATATTACCGATTTTAAGTTGCGTTCAAAAATAAACAAACAAACAAACAAACAAATAAATAAATACTAAAATTGACAACTGTAAATGATATTTATCTTATAATTTGAAATACTTCATACTCTTCCACAAAAAAAAAAACCAGTAAATAGACCACTAGCTTCTCTGATTTTCTTTTCGTAAGCCATTTTACCGCATTTACCAACGGTTTCATTAAAAAAAGATCGACACCGAATGATGGACCAAGACCACGATCGTTACTTACAGCATGTCTTTCATCTTTTACACGACTTAAGATATAACTTTTAATATCATCATTCTTAAAAGAGAATATAAAACTATCTTTAGTGGTGCAATTAGAACCATCAGATTTCCATTCAGATGGATTATATCCACCAAGAATTTCTTTACTATTTTTCACTTTAATTATTGTCACAGTATGAGATTGATTATCACAGATTTCATGAAATTTTTTAGGTGAAAATCCATCATGAGATCCACGAAGTAACAATTTGAATTCGTACGTATTTTTTATCTCATCTGTAATTTCTAATCTATCGATCCATTTTGAAATTAATTCAACATGCTGAGGTGTAATGATCTTGGAATCAGCAACTATACGAGGTATTGATAATTGGCCATTGGGATTCAAAAAATATTTTAATAAATCTTTATATAATTCTTTTGGCAAAATTGTTTTATAAGGCAACACTCTGTTTGAAAATTCTTCAGAAGTTAAATTATAGAATCTAACTAATATGTGGGATGCAATGTTGTAAACTATTTTTCAAAGTATTAAAATCTTCTTTTGTAAAATTTGTAGGATCTGACGGAAGTTCTGGATTTTGAGCAAGTCCCCAATTAAGCATATGTTGCCATACTTGAATTTCGCTCATTTGAAGATTATCACTTTGAATAAGCAAGACCAAAAGTTTTCCCGGAATTGAAGAGAAACTTGAAGATCTGAATATCTTGTTTGGCTTTTTGGTTATTAAACTAGTACAAAATTTTTGAAGTTCCAAAAAAGAATCGTTCTCAAAGCTTGTTTGATATATCAGACTAAAATTTTGTTCCATCCAATTTGTCTTAGTTTCAATCAAAAAGGATTGTGAATAAGTGATTAATTCTTGAAGACCAAGTTTACTTCCAGCAATTAGGATATCCATTATATCCGAAGTATCATATTCCTCTAAAGAAATTTCTCCGCCATAAATATATCTAAAATAAAAAGCGTAAAATTAAATATTTTTTTTTTATAATTATGACACATCATTTTGTTAATTTAAATATTTAAAATTAATTCTTTTCTACTTAATTCTTTACCTTAAAATTATTTGAAAAATTTCAGGTGAAATATTTGGTAATTTTATATGTACCAAAGTTTCTTTATTTTCCTTTTTATTGATCGATAAAATTCTTCGTAAATAATTAGAACGATCATGTAAGATAACCATATGAGCATGAAATATCTTTATATAAGGGTCATTACCAACTTCAATAGTAACATCATAATATTCTTCATCATTTAAAATTTCAAGTAAATTTTGTGATAACTTAGTTAAAATATTATCATTCATGATTTAATAAATTTAAAAAAAAAATGAGAACAATTAAAAATTTTGTTGAATTATTAACCCTTATATATAATTTCCGCTACAACGTTACACGTAGCAGTCGTAGCACCGGATGATATGCTTGATAGTTTGTGTTACTCAAAATTAGTCCGAACTCTGCTGATCTTGAATTTTATAAGAAATTTATCTCAATTAACGAAAATATATAGAGTTTCTCAACATAATTTAATTCTTTTCCTTTAAGTTAAGAAATTTCAAATAAATATTTAGTAATTTAATATTTGCCAAAGTTTTGTTATCATCCATAACAAATAATGGTTTAATTTATAAATTTAAATAACCCTACACAATTACTATTTTTCAAGTTGCGCTATTCTGAAGCAAAATGCTTTATTACGCGCATTACCTCTAATTGCTGATAAATAGTATATGCTATCATTCAAAATTCTGAATATATAGTAAACTTAAATGAGATTTAAAAAATATAGTTTAATTCAAGACTTGGATGTATAGTATACTATTTCTCAAAATAATTGTAAGATCGTTTTTTCAAAAAAAAAAATATATGTATACCCTATGAGATATTTATGATGATTTTACAAATAATTTATTTCGCTTTGGACAAGTAACGACGACTTCGAGATCATTTATTTAGTCTGCTTCAATAAAGAAAAGAAAATTTTTCTTTCATAATCAGAAATTATTAATACGAATGATAAGAGGACATAAAAAGAACGTAATAAAATACGCACCATTACCAAAAAAATAATATAAAATATATATATCAAAAATGCAATATACTGCCTGTCCATAATAATAAGGGTCAAATTTTGTGGATTATTAACCAAAGATAAGATAGCTGTGATTTAATGTCATAATTAGTTCAGAAATTTCTTCTGTGCCCAATTGTTTTGTTGTAAAAGCCGAGATTATTATATAATCCATAAATAAACTGATAAACTAGATCTTTTCTAGAAGATGGTGAGAAGATCAGATTCGGGAATCAAAGGTTATTTATTTATTTCAAATTAATAGACCAACAAAAAGTCATTTATATTTGTGAATGAGCTTTTTTTTTTTATTGATACTTTATCTCAAATATTATTTAAAGACTTTTTTTCCTCGTGGTTATCACAAAATTTAGACGAGCGAAATTAGAAATATTGATGAATCCATCCATGATATTAAAACAAAAAAAATCTGATATGTTTAAAATGGTAATTATAGTACCGTAGTTTGGTTTGTCTATAAATACAAGAAATTCTAGTTTAATATCAAGGATTTCAGCCGTAAATAACTGGACAAGATGAATTAGCATAATGCGAAGTGAACCACTAGAGTCGGTAGTTGGTAACCTGGTTGAAACTTTAGCATAATTATAAATAAGCCATTGTAGAGCAATTAATGTGCCAATCAAATAACACGAGCGCCGAGTCTTCGCCACATCCTACTAATCCTAGTAAACCCGAGTTCTTTCGTAAGACGTAGAGAAAGTTCAAGAGTTGATTCACCTTCGGCTTTCTTTACATTATTAAGCTAGTAGCACGAGAATAAATCAATATAACAGTTATTTACATATTGAATTATTAATCACTGCTAATATTACCTTAGAAACAAAGGTGTCTGCAAGGTGACTGACAATCGCATAAAATACACTAGCGGTGCATTCACCAAGAAAAGAAACGCCTAATTGTTCAAGTTTAATATAGTCTAGTTTTAGTTTTAGTTTTCCGCGAGAAGAATAAATAAATTCTGAATAATAAAATTATGATTAGTATCAAATAATTATACCAGATTTCTTATTAAAACGACATTCCAATTCAAACATACCGACCATTCTTTCGCAACTAGCGAATTTCAGAGTAATTTGTCCCGATTGTTTATGCCGATGAATTTAATCAATAGTAATTATATTTTATTCTGTCTTCATCAGAGATATTAATTATTCTAATTCATTTTACGGATTAATTCATTAATACAATCTTCACGGTCACCAAAATCACCGCCTTCAACATAATGTCTAAAAAATTCCTAGTATTACAACCACCAGTAGGACACGGATGTGGGCACTGTTCTGAAAACATTATCACATAAGCACATTTTTTAATGTCATATAAATGCAATAATTTAGCTTAATATACTTACAACCCGGTGGACATTGTCAGTTTCGTAGAAAAAAGCGAACTTTAAATACTCTGTGATCCTTAAATTTTTTTTTAGATATTTATTTATCCAATTGGTTGAGATGATCAAATATAAATACACAATTTGAATTTCAAAATAACTAAAATAACTTAAAAATAATATTCCTACGTGATAATGTAATATAATAAGGTATGTTATTAAATCGAAATAAATTATTAAAATAATAATGAAAATCGGTTGTATCATTCGAAAATGAGTTCAAAAAAAAAAAGAATACCCTCACATATCGAAATGTATAAATAAACCATTTTCAGAAAAACTCCCATAAGATATAATAAATATGAAAAACCGAATAAAAATATTTCTTAAAATTTAATATCCCAATAAATAAATACATGGAAGTCTCCAAAAAGACTTAAACAGAAGAAGCTTGAATGTTAAAAAATATGTAAAAATTTAAAATTTTATCGAATATAAATTAATCCTCTTTCCGTAAGTTTCACCATAATTGTACCTGATGGTTTGTCAACTTTGGGAACTTCATTTTTATTAATGTTTGTATTATTATTATTATCGGAACTATTTATATCATTTCCTGGGTAAACGAAACTAGTTCCTTCGCCTTCATCATTATCATCTTGTAAATTCTTTGAATTTAATTGTTCCTCTTTACTGCTATTCTCGGTATAAACAAAGACCGTGTCATCATCTGCGTTATCCTTCAAATCATTGATTTCGGGTTGATATATGAAAGCATCATCATCGTAGCCTTTAACTGGATAAACAAAATTTTCATCATCGTCTGTAAACCCATCATGAGAATCACGAAGTAACAAAGGTGTAATGATTTTGGAATCAATATTAATTTCTTTAGTAGTCATACGAGGTTTTGATTCACCAATTGATTGATTATTAGGATTCATAAAATATTTTAATAAATCTTCATATAATAAATCCTTTGGTAAAATTTTTCTGTATGGTAATACTTTATTCGAAAATTCTTCAGAAGATAAATTATGAAATCTGATAAGTGGGATACATTGACGCATATTATTCTTTAAAGTTTTGAAATCTTCTTTTGAAAAATTTGTAGGATCGGATGGAAGCTCTGGACTTTGAGCAAGTCCCCACTTAAGCACATGTTCCCATACTTGAATTTCGTTCATTTGAAGATTATCACTTTGAATAAGTGAGACCAAAAGTTTTTCCGGAGTTGAAGAGAAACTTGGAGATTTGAATATCTTGTTTGGCTTTTTGGTTATCAGATTAGTACAAAATTGTTGAAGTTCCAAGAAAGAATCGTTTTCGAAACTTGTTTGATATATCAAATTAAAATTTTGTTCCATCCAACTTGCCTCAGTTTTAATCAAAAAGGATTGTAAATAAGTGATTAATTCTTGAAGACCAAGTTCACTTCCAGCAACCAAGATTTTAATTATATCTAAAGTATCATATTCCCCCAAAGAAATTCTTCCACTATAAATATATCTAGAATAAGAAGTGTAAATTTATTATACAACTGTTTTAAGTTTAATTATTATCATCCTATGTCATACCTTAAGATTATTTGAAAAATTTCAGGTAAAATATTTGGTAATTTTATATGTACCAAAGTTCCATCATTTTTCCTTTTATTGGTCGACAAAACTCTTCGTAAGTAAGTAGAACGATAATGTAAGAAAACCATATGAGCACGAAATATCTTTATATAAGGGTCATTACCAACTTCAATAGTAACATCATAATATTCATCATCATTTAAAATTTCAACTAAATTTTGTGATAACTTCGTTAAAATATTATTATTCATGATTTAACAAATTTAAAAAGAAATGAGAAGAATAAAAAATTTTTTTAAATTTTGTTGGATTGTTAACCTTATATATAATTGCCGCTGCAACGTTGCAACGTTACAGTCGTTACATGTATACATGTAACCATTGTAACCGGATAATAGTTTGTGGGACCATCTTACGGAGCTTACCCGGCTATATGCTTATGGTAGCACAGGTGACATATTATGTAGGTGACAAATAGAGATCAGAGCATCTCAAAGAAATCTAAGTCGATGTCTAACTGTCATCGTCAACGTGACTGCCTCGTTCGCGTTGTTCATACACAGTGAAATTCGATATAACGTTCCATTAGTAAAATTTGTCAAAAATCCGTTATATCGAGAAATCCGTTATATCGAGGGTAAATTAATTATAGATAATGTCATTATGTAATCCGTTCCAGACCCAATTCAGACTTTACTTATGTTCCGATATATCAAAGTTCCGATATATCGAATTTCACTGTGTATCACCTTCCCGAGGTGTGATAAGATGATTCGTTAAAATTTACAATGAATCCAAACATTGCAGATTTTGTGAAAATATATTGAGTTTCTCAACACAATTTAACTCTTTTCCGTAATTGAACATGGTTTAATTTATAAATTTAAATAACCTTATTTTGTAGCTCCTTTGGCATCATCTTATCGGTATAAAATAAAAATTTTAGGAAACATTAGATGAATAAATTTTATTACGCGTATCGACATTTTTCGCAACGTCTAGTTGTTGGTAAATAGTATATGATATCATTAAAAATAAGTAAATGAGATTTAAAAAATATAGTTTAATTCGAGATTCGGATGTATAGTATATTACTCAAAAAAAAATTTTTTTTTTTAAAAAAAAAAATCATAAAATATACCCTTTGATTCCCGAATTTGATCATCTCACCATCATTTTTTTTTTTTTTTTTGAAGAAAAGATCTAGTTTATTGGTTTATTTATGGATTATACAATAAAAACTTCTTTCCTCATGGTTATCAAAAATATAGACGAGCGGAATTAGAAATATTAATTTCTGAATGACAAATATACTAAATATACTGTAAATTTCATAAATTTTGTTCAAAGTTTTGAAAATATTTATAGGAAAATTTATCCAAAATTCATTTATGTTATTACTCGGTTTGGTTTGTTTATAAACAGCGAAATTCGATATAATGAAACCATCTGTTCCATTAGTAAAATTTGTCAAAAATCCGTTATATCTCGAAATCCGTTATATCGAAGGATAAATTAATTATAGATTATGTAGGGATGTAAAATTACCGTAATTTATAAAATTTATTGTTACGTTACGGTAATTTTCTATAAGTTATGTTACATTATGTTATTGTAACATAAAATTTTTTTTTTAATCAAAATCTGAAGAAACAATAAATCCCAATAAAAAAATGATATAAATATAAATACTGTAATTCTAAGTGAACAAAAATGCGACAAGATTGCAGGAATATGTTAAAACTTGTATGATAAGATCATAAAAAAAGTTGAATCCGAAACTGTAAAACATGATAATAAGCTACTTTTTATTTGTTAATGTTCGTTATAAATTATAAACTTGGCCAAGATTAAGGTAATACTGGCTGAATTATCTTAATTCTGGTAAACATATCAATGTAATGTTACATTCAGTCCATGTAACTTACAGTGTAAGTTACGTAACGTAGTGCTTCGACCCGGATGAAAACCGTCATCCGGATTACACAAAAAAAAAATCCGGATTATATCCGGATTGACCCGGATTTTGAATCCGGATCAGATAATCCGGATTATATCCGGATTGACCCGGATTTTGAATCCGGATCAGATAATCCGGATAGAAACCGGAAACCGGATTGGATTTACAAATGATCGGCAATAATTCTGGCCAGAATTCATAACGCCGGCCAGAATTACAAATTGTGTAACATTAAATTTTCATGCCAGCCGATAAAAAATTTTTTGCCCGGTGGCTAAACTATTTTCCCGGTGTCACGTGATGTTAATTTCGGCCAGAATTACAAATTTGGCCAAAATTATCCAAGACCACGAAATTTACATAATTCCAATTTCATTAAATACTTTTCTTTAAAACAATTTCATATTATTTCAGCATT